AATYRTYTCAAAAGAATATTCTCTATAGTTTTCAACCAACAGTTTTATCATTAAAACTTTCAAACTCAAGAACAATCTATTCTTTCAATGATTTCCAAAAACATCATGTCCCTTTAAAATCCTCAAAACATGATTTCATTTCCCAACCCGTTTTAAAGAAGCAATCTCTTCTTTATCTTTTCCAAAACAGTTTTTAATAATCAAATATATAACAATAACACCTTTAAACTATCAAAATAGTTTTTTTTACCATCTTTTCTTCAAAACCAACATCAAAACCCAGCAGTTTATATAACAATATATATAAAGGTTTTAGTCATCAAAAACTCACAGTGTATAATCAACTGTATTTTTAAAACTCACAGTTTATAATCAACGGTAGTTTARAAACTCACCTTAACAATCACATATTCTATAGTTTTAAAACACACAGCAAATCACAAGCTCTTTAAACAGCTTTGAACAAAAGATTTGTTCAAGAACACTTCTCACCGCCACAACACTCTTTCTCTCTTTCAACAGATTTTTCTTCAAATGAAATGATAAGATAGAATCTTATCTTTTTATTTCTTTAAATACTCCTACAATGATGGTGAAGATTATTTTAATTATAAAATTCATAGAGGGTGAAAGCTTTAACCAATAGAAATAACCTTGGGTAGTGGGTTTTTCATTATAAAATTCATGATTTTCTAACCATGAAGGTATAAGTTTTTAAATAATATAATAATGTTTCCACCATAAAATCTTATCACATATATGCATGCACAATATCATGTTCACATTTCACATATATAGTTCATGCATTTCTACTTAGACATGCATATTTCACGTAATCCACATAACGAACACGTATGAATTACCTCAACCCATGTTGTCTTAAACCTGGTTATAACACTTCATGTTCTTCATCTCTCAATCAATCTATTCTTTGAATTATTCTTGATTTGCTGTTTGAGATGGGATTTACAAAACATGTATTGTAATTCCTTTAGAGACAAACATTCTTTAGGAAGACAAAACTCACACCACAGAACCTTCAGCCATATCGAAGATAGAAGCTAAAGATAGAGATAAGCAAGTTCATGATCTGATGCTGTTTTTCAGTGATAACAAGCTCGTTTACACAAGTGTGAAATCTACTCAATATTCAGCAAACACTGATGAGACCTTCAGCACCATTCTAGTGTCAGCAAACATTGATGTACGGAGTCACTCTAATGTCTCCAAGCGTGCTTACCTACTTTGTGAAAAATTACTATTCATATACGGACAAATACTGTACATCAGCAACAAAGGACAAGCTCACTTCTTAATGCTTGCAACTTGTTTTGTACCTTCTGAATTTCATTTAATGCAATAGATATAAAGAGATGAGTAGTTCTTTCTTATCAGTCATCCTCTACAATCTCTATCCAAGCTTCCTTGCCTTGAAGATCTTACCAAAGAAGATACCTGATAATCCTAGAAAGATTAATCAATAACAATTCATGATTCAAGATCACTATTAGAACAACTAGAAATGTAGGGGGGGACAATAGAATTGTAGAGAGAATTCTTTGAGCACCAAATGTATTCAAGTTTCAAATGATTACAAAATGAAATCTTGCTAAGCTAAAAAAAATCTTACTAAGTGCATTAATAACAAAGACAAAACATCCTATTTATACACAAGACAAGCACTAGACGCATAAAACATGGATACAACATATAAAGCTCAAAACTTGATCTTAACATTCACCCCCTTTGGATTCAAGCTTTAACAAACTGCATAAAAAAAGCACAAAATTCTTCAGGATTTTAGCTGCACCAAACTTCAGAATTATCAGCATCTTGAAATCTTCAAAATTTATCTCTCAAGACATTAAACATTCTTCCCTTGTAGAAACATTCTACATTCTAGTCCTTTGGATTCCTCCTTTGAATTATTTGTTAAAACTTCTCCTTTAAGCAACAAATTCCTTTTCTTCAAGAACTTTAAATCTTCACAATCCTTCTCATTCTCCCCCTTTATCAGCAACAATCTTTAAAGATCTTCAGAAATTAACATCATTTGTTATCATGTCTTTAATAACGTTTCATCTCCTTTGATGACATATCTCCCCCTCAAGATGATTAGGAAAATCCTAAACATCATGGATAATCAAAGATCTAGCATTCTCTCCTTTTTGAAGAATTCCAAACATCATGAAGAATCAAAGATATAACATTCTCCCCTTTTCACACTTCTTCTTATATACTCCCTCTAAAGAAATGAATCATAATCTCAACAGATAAATGTGATTTCTCATCAACTGAAAGATAATGTTGGTCCTAGCCGGGTCTACAAGAGTTTTAGACGAACAGTTTGTAGAATGGGGGGATGAATACAAACACAAAAAACTTTTGTACTTCAAAATATATATTGATGGAGAAAGACCAATACAAATTTTTGTAGATTGTTTGGAGAAATAGACAAGGTAATGATAACCTATCTAAATCAATCTAAGTTTACACATAGATATACTTAGCAAAATAGAAAAGATTTGTTCAAAGATAAAGACAGAAAGATGTTCTTCTTGGGTAAGAACTTTTAGAATACTTTATAGGGATTCTAACTTGCTTGAAGATAAGCATAAGTGTTCTTTTAGATGTGTGTTTTTCTCTGCATGGAGAGAGAGCACTCATCTATTTATACTCATTGCATTAAATGCAAATCAGAAGGGTTTGAACACGCGTCAACCTTTTGGAGGAAAGCTTGTCCTTTGCTACAATGAATAGTATAATTGCCTATTCATAAGCAAATATCATTCCGTAGAGTTGGTGGGCATTAAAGTCGACTAGTCGACTCCGTACAGAACTATACTCTAGAAAGAATATGGATTTGTGCTTTGTGTGTGGAAAGACAAGACAAAAACAATCTTGCACAACAAGCTTCATTTGATCGCTGAATACTGGAATAACACTTAAGGTCTCTTTAGCATTCGCTAAGGCTTTGGTAGTCTTCACACATATGTTGAGTAGGTTGTAATCACTGAAAATCGCTTCATATTACGCATGCTCTAGTCACTAATCTTTAGTTTTAGTCTTCGACTTTCACTGAAGGTTCTTTGGTGTGAGTTTTGTCTTCTTGAAGTATCGCTAACGCTGTAGGATTTACAATACAAGTTTCAGCGATCACTAAACAGACTCAGTGATGATCGTTGGAACTGAAACAACAGAAACATAATACCTCAAAAGGTAAAAGAATTATCATCAAATCAATGAGAGAGAGGATCAACAATCTCCCCCTATTTGATGATGACAAAGCAACATAAAGAAACTTGTCTTAATAAATAATAGTAAGGAAAAGTTATATATAAAATACATGTCCCTTTTAACTATTTTGGGATCTTTTCAGTGAATCAGTTTTTACTTTATAAGTTTTCTTATGTTACAAGTTTAAGAAAAAGTACAATAAGGGAAACTTAAATTGAGAGCATGTTCACTAACTAGGGGTTGTTAGTGACTGTAAGAAAATACTGGAACTCATAGATATGTGTCCCTATTACTCTTTTCAGGGATATTTTTCAGTAATGCTGATGAAATTTCTTATATTCATTCAAAGGAAAATTTACAATTGTTTCAATTAGTACATTTATAGACTTACAAAATATAAGTTGTATACTGAAAGTAAAGATATAGATACAAAAGACATACAGTGGAAGACGAAGTTACAAGACATAATTTCATAACTAATCTAGGTTGCTTAAGTTGATGAGCCAGGTACTTCTTGTCCAAGCTCTTTTCGACGTAGAAATTTTCTTCTGATATTGCGGTCTATCATTTCACCATATATATCATCATCGCACCAATATCTGATATATGAGAGATGTTCCATTGGACAAAGATTTAGCTTAGACACTCTCTGGAAGTTGTGTTCGCCTTCATAGTCAAGGGAAATAAATCCTAACACAGGCTTGAAGTGCACAATGTTGGGTATGTAAGGACCCTTCGCTAGCAATGAGAGGTTCAGCATTGAGATGTCTAGATTCTTTGAATCCTTCAGGACTTCGTCTAAAGAGAACTTTGTTTCATGTTCATTCATCAGGGTTGGTTCGTGGTTAGGACTTGAAAGTCTTCTTCTTCCAATTTTCTTCAGAGATGTCTTTGTAGGTAGAGCGACGTATCTTGACATCTTCTTGATCAGCTCGTTGATGATGTCTTCAATAATAGACTTGTGCCTTGACTTAGAGCGCTGAATGGCTTGGCGGATCTTCAGCCATTCACTATAGCCATACTGACATAGGTAGGAAGGATACTCCATGACAGCATCAAGGTTGTCTCTGGTGATGAGCATTGAGACTAGAAGTCCACCGTCTTTCATCTGTCCACTGATTGTGACGTTTGAAATTGGATGAGGACTGATTCTCTTGTTTAGCCATTCTTAGCTCCATTTTCTGTCTCGGTTAACTAGCTTCATCTCCTTTTCATGCTCAACTTCTGCAATAGAAAGCAACTTATCCTAGGCCTTGACAACATTCTCCATCTTTTTAGACATCTTCTTCAGAAGAACTTTAGCAGCAAGAGACTTGGCCAGCTTTATGCTGTCCTAAGTCTGTAGTCGTTGAAGTTTGAGTTCTTCCTCAACCCTGAGTGCCTCGAGTCTTTCAGCTTCATATAGGAAGTCAAACTCACCACAACTAGAGGTACGAAGAGGGATGTTTACTCTAGTTTGGTCGACTGACTCCTTTAGCTGAGACATCTGCTGGTTGGTGAGAACGCTGGAGGTTGGGTTTTCAGGTACCTATTCCTCTAGCTGATCGTAGATGGTAGAGGGGATGGAAGAAAGTTGACAAAAGAAGTAACAATGGCAAACCTGGAGGATTTAGTACTTAAGGGCTCAACAGGTTTGAAAAGTACCTTGAGGTTTCCTTCTTCAGCAACACCTTAGTCTTTCGACCTGGTGTTCTAGTTCTTCTCCGAGGTCTCCTTCTCCTTCTCATTCTCCTTCTCCTTCTCCCCCTAGGATGCAGAATACCTGAGAGAGACTCCTTTCATAGCACTGGAATGTTTCTGGTACTGAATGGTGAATTTGTCATCATCATCATCTTCACCAAGATCCTTTCCAGCATCAGGAAGGTTGGGAGAATCATCGTCATCATCTTCATCATCATCTTCCTTATCACTAGCATCAGCTACAGAGGTGATAGGAAGGTCTTCGTCATGAGCTTCAGCACCAGCTCTGACGGTTTCATCAACAATCTCAGCTTCAGGAGCTTCATGGGCAGTTGGGTTTTCATTAACAACCACAACTTCATTAGCTGTGGCTCTAGGAGCTTCAGCTTCAGTCTGAGTCGTTGGGATAGCAGCAACATCAACATTTAACTATGTCTCCCCCTCTATCAGCATGGTATTCAAAGAAGTTGTCAAGAGTTTTTGTCTGGAATTCCACCATCTCCTCGAGCTTTGTCAGTGCTTGGGCTTGAAGAAGACTTCATTCAAGAGTACGATCTAGCTGGAGGAGATCCATCTCTATGAAGGATGGTGTAGGTGTTGGTACTAGTTGTTGGAGAATCTTCAGCATGTGCTGCATCAGCTCAGTATGCCTAGCGAGATGAGCATTCGCTTCATCGGCCTACTAGTTAAAGCATAGATGGCCTCAGCGTTGATGTGTATAAATACTTGCACCGATGAGAGCTGGTCTTTGACCTCTTTTACTTCAATTTTGATAGTTGAAAGATCAGTAGAGAGTTCATCCTTAAGAGGCATTCCCTTATGGACTTCGTCCATTTTTATAAGGACAGTCTCAAAGCAGGGAGAATCAGCTTTACATCATCAGCCATGTTGTATTCTTCTTCCATGGCTGGTGTCTCATCACGAGGACTTGAAAAGGAAAAATTTTGAGTATAAGATAGCTCGGGGTTAGAAGAAATGAAAGGGTCGGATGGACAAGTACATGAGGGTTCATCAGCACCATCTGAAGGATTGATGCTGGTTCGCTCCAGGTTGCCTTCGAGAGGATAGGCGACCATATGCTAAAATGCATGGAGAGGAGCAATCTCAGGTCCTGTGGTGGGTGCTTCATCATCACTAAGGAAAATCGATGATGAATCATAAGCATGTGATGAGACCAAGAATGGAGGAGAGGAGAAAGTGGCAATGCTGATATTCACACCTTTAGTGATTTGGGTCACTGAGGTGGTTGGGATCGGAGCCATAGGTAGGACAGTGATTGTACAAATCACTAAAGATATTGAAAGAGATGAAGCTAAAGGTGCCTTGGGTGTAAGGCGAGTTTCAATAGCTGAAACATTTTGAGAGGTACCAGCCAGAGACGTGGGTATCCCCTTTTTGGCTTTCTTGGCCCTTGATGGAGAACCAAGAGTGGGTTGAGAAGAGGGACGTTTGGAAGAAAGGAAGGTGGTGGTTGGGATAGACTTCGGGGGGTTATCCTTAATCTTGACCATCTGAGAAGGAGAAAAAGGAAATACAGGTAAAGGTGGAGAAAATGAAGAAATAGGTTGCACAATAGCATAAAGTGCAATATCTTCATTTCTCAGCTTATGATCTAGAATTCTAGATCCATGCTAGCAGATAGGGAGATTAACTTCTGTGGAATACTTGTTGCCAGAGATTTTGGCAAACACCATGGAGAGAAACATGGTGTAAGGTACTACCTACTCCCTCTAGCGCTTGTTCAGCTTCAGCATCAGGTCATCGAAGATTACAGCCGCAAAGTTGATTGGACGCTGGCGAATGACAGAAACGCCAATGTTGAGCACGACCCTGGAGGCTTGATCTTGGCCGCCAGTCTTGCCTCCCATACATTGAATGAAATGGGAAAACAAGTACTGCCACACCTCAGACATGCAGTTCTTCTCAATCTTCGACAGCGACTTGAGGAGATTGTTGGAGTCCTTCTACGTTGGCCAGGCGTAGCCAATATCATCAAGGAACACATTGATGATTTCAGTATAAGGATCACTGACGAAGGGACCCTTGGGGAAGCGAAGGGCGTGTAATAATCAGTTTTCAAAGGATAATTGATCAGGCCTTACTAGTTGCGCAACAATAAAAAGATCGGAGTTGGATTATGTTATATGAGGGTTTTGAGAATTCACCTCTATGCGTGTGTTATCTGTTCCTTTACAGTATGTCTTTTGGGAGTGTAATTTTTTATTATTATTATTATTATTTAAGGGAAGATTGATAAAGAGAGGGGGAGGTGTGGCGGCTGGAGAGCTATTCACCGCCTCCCTTTTTGTTGCTATCTTTCTATAAGTAGTAAAGGAGGTTGAATTGAGAAAGGTTTAGAAAATTGGAAATCAGTAAAACTCCTTGGGCGAAATATCAATCTCTGGATAGAAGAAACAATCATTATACGGATAAGGTGAGTGGTGTTTATATCATCATAAATATATAAATTCTATCTGTATTAGATTGAATTCTTTTTCTGTATTTTGATTAAACATGTTAAGATCGGATTCCTCTTAAACCGCTCAATGGTCACTCGGATTCATCCTAAATCGGGTAAGGGTTACCCGGATTATAGCTAAAATCGGACAAGGGTTACCCGGATTAGAGTTAAACCGCTCAAGGGTTACCCGGACTAGAGTTAAACAACTCAAGGGTTACCCGGATTAGAGCTAAACCGCTCAAGGGTCATCCGGATTTAACTGAAACCGGCCAAGAGCCATTCGGATTAATATCTAAATCGGCCAAGCGTCATTCGAACTCATCTAATTTTCGACTATGTGTTGTCCGCATTGCATATCCGGTTGATGTTGTCTGGATTACTTAACCGGATGAAGTTGACCGTATTGCATGTCCGGTCAAAGTTATCTATTCAACTTTATTCTAATTAGAGGCAATAGCAGTGTAACTGCGAGAGAGGGGCAATGGCTGTGTAACCGCGAGTGGGGCAATGGCGGTGTAATCACGGGAAAAGTAATGATGGTATAACCGTGTGAGAAGAAATGGCAGTGTAACTAAGAGAAATAATAGATGAAATGCATTTAAATATCCAAGTTTCTATAAACTTGGATATTGAAATATACATTGTTTACATGAGACTAATCCATTCACTAGACCTTTTGGTCTAACGCTCAATTGTTGGACTAATCTGTTTTGCAGGTCATCTATCATCTCAAAACAAAGGCAAAGGAAAAATTTAATGAATTGTTATTTAGATGTTTGTGTTATAACAGATAAAGTTTTTGTTAACTCATATTTCCTCATGTTTTGTACTGAAAAATATGTTTCTGATGTTAATTAAGTGCTACATAAAGTTATGTATGATTGTATTGGATCCTTGTGTTGGATGAAATTCAGGGTTGATACAGTTGGTATCAGAGCCTTAGTTTAAGGGATCTGGGTATTTCTTAATACTTATACTTAAACTAGAGGCATGGAAATTATGACAATAGGTTTCACTAGGACTATGAATATGGGAACATGTTATAAATCTATTAAGAGAATAATTGTGATAAGACTAGATTACATATGATTGATGTAATCATGAGTTATAAATAGATCCAAGGATAAATGTGTTATCACACTTTGATTTTATGAATAATCATATATGTTTATTGTAAAAGAAAAAGGAGCGTTCAAGTAATTTGAACACTGAAAAATGGCAGATAATACTAAACGATCAGGAAGGACCTCTGAAGGTTATGGAAGAGGTCGAGGAAGAGGAATTTCAAACCAAGAAGAACACTCGGAAAATATGATGACTATAGAAACACGAAGTCGAAGCAGGGGTCGAGGAAGAGGGAGAAATACTCAGCAAGAAACTCGTATGGAACAGGAATTATCGGCACAAGAAAGTTTAATGTCCGACCGTAAAAGAGGTAGAGCAAGGGGTGGACATAATGTTCCTGATCCTGGTTTTATTACTCAGAAAATGTTGGTTGCTGAATTGGGAAAATTTCAGGAAAGTTTGGTAAATTTCTTGGGACTTTGGCACAAAATAACCCAGAAATAATAAGGGATCCTGACTATCAGGAAGAAGCCGGAGCTAGTACACCGACAACATATACATCTGTGCCCCTTCATCCTCACCTCATAAAGGAGGAGATATTAAAATGTTTCTTGCTTGTAAAACTCCTAAATTCTCTGGTGAACGTGACCGTGTCAAATCCATGTGCTGGCTTAAGAAAGTTGAACTAAGTCTGCAATTCAGTAAAAGCGCAAAGGAAGATAAAGTTATGTTTGTCGTATCCCGTTTAAGGTCAAGTGCTTTATATCGGTGGGAGATTTTGTCAAGTTCAGATCCAAATAATCAGAAATCTATGATATGGGAGGAATTTGTGATAAAATTTAAGATGCAATATTGTCTGAAAACGGCTGTACGAAAGTGAGAAGATGATTTCCTCCGTCTGGAGCAGGGAAACATGTCAGTTCGTCAGTATACGGAAGTTTTCATGGAGCAATCTCGGTTTGCTGAAGCCTACATTGGATCTGAAAGCAATAAAGTAAGAAAATACATCTAGGGTTTGGAATCCAATCTCCAAAAGTATGTAATATCTAGAAATCCAACGACATTTCAAGCAACAGTTGATGCTGCCGAAATACTGGAACAGGACATCAATCGTCAACCACAAGAAAGGATTGGGGATAAAAGAAAAGGAGAAACTATAATGAATGATTTTCGTAGACCATCCTTATAGTACCATCACTGTACTTGTTCAGCATACTGAATCTCATAAACTTCTTTATCCCACCTTCAGCGCTATAAACCACACCAAACACCGGATCTTCAAAAATGATATACAACCTTCAATATCTTCAAGTTCTTGGTCTGGTCTTTTCAAATTAATGATCTTCTGATTATCTTCAAGACCCATTTGGATATCTAGAACCATCGATACTTTGACATGACTCTTCATATATCTCTTGATAGCTTCCAGAGCAATAACTTCTCCTTCTCTTCTTACAGTAAGATTTCGTAGTTCGTGATACATATGCTCCAGATCTTCTAAATAGAGATTCGAGAAGTGAGCTTCACTGAAAGTCCAGACACGTCCATCCTGTCTTGTTACTGTAAACATAGGATACCAAACTCTAAGGAGTTTATTGGCATCAATTTGTTTGATGGATACAATGCGATGTCTGGTCCGTACTTGACTAATCGGAAGGCGCTTCGCTTTGAGAAAATGCTTATACTTCAAACGATAATCTCGGGTTTATTTATGAATCCCAAGAATTTTATCTGTGCTAAGAGCTTTGCGGTGCCGAAGAAAGATGGCGAAGTAGATGTCTTCCAGGTAAGCTTCTCTAATCCGTGCTCTGTCATAACCTGGAACATTAGCTTGTATTGCAAACGGCACGTAATTCTTAGTAAATATTTATGTAATATCATTTGCCATTCTTGGAGTTTCTGAAGCACCATGATCAACTGCGGTGGAAGGTTCAGAAGGAGTTTGATGATCACCCTGGAATGGAAAGATCGGATCATTTTCATTGATGTCAGCTTCAAAGTCAAAGTACATACTAGATGACTCATAAATATTATCAATATCTTCATCAAAGTCTTGAACTCCACCCAGTTCTTTAGAGAAAGCTTCATTAAAACCAATGTTGGCAGACAAATCCAAAAGCAGCCTTGTCTCTCCTGTGGAGTCCGCCGACTTTTCAACCGTTGGCTCGATCATAGGATTTGTCTTCATGGCTATCTCCTCTTCAACTATTATTGGGCATGTAGTCCTTTCCCTTGTTCTTTTTGGAACAGGACTTTCAACATTAGCCGCTTCAGAATCTGGCTCCCTTTCAACACTTTCAACATGAAC